ACTGTGGGCTCCAGAGCACAGTAGTACAGAGCAGAGTCTGATATAGATGCAGAGGAGATCTCCAGATACACAAGGTTTTCTTTGTCTTTGGTGACTTTGGCAGTGAATCTGGAATCTACATTAGACTCCTGAGCTTGTTTTCCACTGTCTAAGATGAGCACAATGAACTCAGGAGCTGATCCGGCATACTGACGGTACCAGTGAAGAGCATATGCAGATGAATAACTACAGGATAATTTAGCACTTGAATCCTCATCAGCAAACTCCAAAGTTTTGGTTGGTTTAATTTTATTTCCATATGCTGCATCTGCAAAGGTAGATCAAAGTTTTTTATTTATTGCAATATACAACATAAACAAAAACACTTTATACTTAATTTTGTGCAGAAATTAGCCTGGCTACTCAGAGTTCTGGGGTACAAAACACTTCAATACTTACATGCAAAGGCAGAAAGCAGAATGACAGAATGGAGCATCTTTCTTTGTGTGTTTCTTATGCTCTCTCTGACAGACATGAAGTTTAAGAAGATCACATCAGATATCAGTGCTTTAAACCCCACCTCTTCCAGAGAGCTCTTTGAGAGACAAGATCATATCAGATCAGATCTATATCATACACCACCGTCATTTGAGTACTATTCATATCCTATAGTGCATAGTACCCTCTTGTGGTTACTAAGTAACTCTGTCGTATGATACAGTATATGAATATGATCTGGATTAATTCATCCTACGTTGGTTGTTATAGTACTTTAAACACATAAATCAGATTATTAGTGAGTGTCTGTTTAGATGTGCATATTCACACAGAGTGAATTTAGGGATGTGGTTTATTTTGGTGGTAAAAAAAACAGTTATTCATTTGATATACCTGTACAAAAAACAAAAGCAAGTTGAATTGTATTTAAATCAACTGATCTTACATCGTAGAGTACAGTGTTAACAATTAATATTCATAATAGTATTGTTAACACATAAGCATAATTTATCATACCACTTCTTCAACTACTGTATATGATTTACCCCATGTCACATTAATGCAGTGTAAATTTATAATTATCTATACTTATAGAAAAAAAATTGGTTGTACACCTTCATCTGTGTCAGGTTTTTATACAGTGTTCTTGTGTTTCCTGTGACTGTGGGCCTCAGAGCACAGTAGTACAGAGCAGAGTCTGATACAGCAGCAGAGGAGATCTCCAGATCCACACGTTTGATTTCTTTTGTGACTTGTTTTTCTTTTCTGAGTTTAGTAGAGAACCTGCGATCTACATCAGATGTCTTAGTCTCTTTCACACTCTCCATTATAAGCACAAGAAATTGAGGAGCTGATCCGGGATACTGACGGTACCATTGAAGTGATTGTGCAGAGGAATAACTGCAGGATAAAGTAACAGTTGAACCCACTGCAGCAGATTCCTCAGTGCTTTCTGGTGTGATTTCACCTCCAAAACTCACACCTGGAAAAGAGAGAGAGAGAAAAAAAAAAATTTAAATTTCAAATAGTGCTGAAATTGATTTATAACAGTGATTTGAAATTGTACAATACATACAGCAAGTGATACTAGTTAATTATATTAAATATTAATATTGCATTATCATTGTGATTAGATTTTAAATTGTAGTAGCAGAAAAAATGTACATTAAGGACGTAATAAGTTTATCTTTTCAGTGAAAAAGTTCATTATGCATGTAAGATGTGAAAATCATTTGACAAAATATTATATGTATATTCTCAAATTAGAAATGCAAAAGCATGCAAAACACACACAAATGCACGTACTTGCCAAGGCAGAGAGCAGAATGACTGAATGAAGTATCATTGTACATGTGTGTGTCACTACAGCAGGACTGAGCTTTGTGACAGTCAAGAAAATGTAACAAGATCATCTCAGATCTATGCTATAAAGATCTATAAACTCCTCCTCGTTCAGTCTGATGCCAACAAAAACTCCACTCATATCTACACATATACTAACTAAATGCGAGATCTTATGGAGGTTCACAGAAGATTATGAATAGCATTTTATGGTATAGACCTTATGTAAAATTTAAATTTATAGTGATGAGCACTAAATTTAAAATTCTTAAAAATATATAGGAGTAGTTTACAGCACTAGTTCCAATTTGTGGAATTGTGAAATGGATTTAAACTGGGTTCAAATGTCATTCCAATTCTGTGGAGTTTTATGCTTCAGTTCTGTGCACACAGATTTTAGGAAAGAGAGTTTTTGTATGAGTGTTGAGTGTGTTTCAGTCACAGTGGGCCTCAGAGCACAGTAGTACACAGCAGAGTCAGACACATGCACATCCTCGATCATCAGTGGAAATATTCTTGATGTGGAGTCCAGTGTTGCTGAAAATCTCGTTGTAAAGAACTCAGTGGTGTATTGATTCAAAATGAATGTTGGTGATCTGTTTGGTAGCTGTTTGTACCAAAAGAGATAATTAGTTGTGGAAGTAGTAGTATAATTACACATTAAAATAACTTGAGCTCCTTCACTTTCAGTCATTTCTCCTGAAGACTGTTCAATCCTGTCCTGTGCTGAGGACACTGGAAAAATAGACAGAAAAAAGTAAGTCATTAACATGAATTATTAGGAAAGTATACTTAAAAATGTATTAACCTGAATGTAAGTAAACCATTTTCTTATAAAGTAGGCTTATACAGATGTACTTACCATCATAATGTGCTGTGAAACACAGGGAAATCAAAGCCCATCTAAACATAGTTGATCTATGAGCAAATATTCACTCAAATCTTGTCTGTGTTTATCTCATAGTGCTCTTCTTTAAACGTTTGTATCATGTCACATGATATTCTCATACGTGGAGAGAGCAAGTCTGACCCCTTGTGGATGAAGTTTCTAATTGCTTAAAAATTGTTACTTTGGAAACCATTTTTCACAAAATTAGTATTAGCCTGAATATGTTTTTGAACACATGCGTGATCCCCACTACTCATCTCTCAATTGTAAAGCCATTTAGTTACTGGATATAGCAATGGGCATTATGTGCCTATTTTTTCTTTTTTCTTCCTTGCATTAAAGTAAATGATCTGAAGAAAGTGTGAAAAATACCTTTTATACACAATGTATTGACCACATTTGTGCATGTGAAAAGTTGATTTCTGCCGTATTGTTTTAGTCTGACACTTTTCTGAACATGCTTAGATATACCAGAGGGGTCTGAATATTATTCACGATTTAAGGGTCACATTTCTCCCTGTCTGTATAAGACTATTGTTTCTTTTCAGAGTAAGGTTTTTGCACAGCGTACTTGTGTTTCCTGTCACTGTGGGCCTCAGAGCGCAGTAGTATAGAGCAGAGTCTGATAATGCAGCAGAAGAGATGATCAGATCCACATGGTTTTGTTTTTCTTTTCTATTATTAGTACTGAATCTTTGATCCACATTAGACTTCTGAGCTTGTTTTGCTCCATCTGAGATGAGCACAAGGAACTCAGGAGCTGATCCGGGATACTGACGGTACCAAAGTAAAGACCATGCAGATGAATAACTGCAGGATAATTTAACACTTGAACCCTCTGCAACAAACTCCTCTGTTTTGTCTGGTGTGATAGTATCTCCATTACTGGCACCTGCAAATAAATGTGAAATGTTAGGTTTGTCATTTTAGTCTGAAAGGGCACTATACTGAAAATGGAAGAATTTAAATAGTTCATGTACTTTTAGTGCACTTTTTATATATATTAAGTCCCCAAATAATAAAACCATGCTTAATTCTTCACTTTGATCATAAAGGTAAGGCTTTTAAAAGCAATGGTACTTACATGCTAAAGCAGAGAGCAGAATAACTGAATGGAGTATCATTGTGTTTTTGCTTACAGTCTCAGATTAAATGATCTTATGTCAGTTTTGACAAACTACTGTCAGATATACTTTAAGCCCCTCCTTCCTCGCCACCTGGGAAAAAGCAAATGTATCTAAATTAACAATCCATGCGTGCAATAATACATTGTGCTTTATAGAGGGGTGTTAACTTGTGTTAACTAGCAGATATGGGGGTTGGATATGTGTGATGTGGATGCAATACTGTGAATCTGTTTTCTGTACTGTATTGTTGTGTTTCCTGTCACTGTGGGCTGCAGAGCGCAGTAGTACACAGCAGAGTCTGTTACAGCAACAGAGAAGATGATCAGATCCACACGTTTGATTTCTTTTGTAGCTTTTGAATACAGACGAAGATCAGGCTCAGATTTGTTTGAATATTCAGTGAGAAGAAGTAAAAATGTAGGTTTTGCTTTGAGATACTGGCGATACCACTGGAGAGAGTTAACAGTGACACCAGTGGTACTGTAGTTACAAGACAGAGTCACATTTTCACCCTCAAAAACATGTTTTTCTAAAGTAAATGGTTGTATTGTGTCAGCTGATGAAGTTTCTGTGAAAAAGAAAAGGGATTCAATTAATCAAGCAATAAAGTGATTAAACCATCTATAATGTATATATAAAATCTATATATACAGTGTCACTTTTTGTGACACATTTATGTATTTATTTTGACTGAAATAATACTGAAATGATCTCTTACCCATGCAAAATTGGATTATTATCCAGGTAAAAAGAAACATGTTTGCAGAGAGACGATGATGGCAAAACAATAGTTCTTCAATAACTATTTGACTCTGTCATCCTCTCAAACTGTCAGCATCAGTGTGAATGCTCCTCCCACTGCTGGAGTGTTTTATTCTGTAATAATTGGACAAGACGTCTTTGTGGGGAAATATAATCAACAGGATGAATGTCATAACACACATATTAATAAATATTGCATTAACAGTAAGCAGCACTTATATAAATTGGTATATCATTGTAAATATGTTTACTGATGTCACTGTGATGGCTTCAAAGAACAGTAAAACATTTTTTTATTTATTTATCAAAATAAATCACATTGAATATGTATATTTACGTTAAGTACGTCAACAACTGCACGTTTCAGAGCTCTTAGTTCTTGTCAGGATGTTTATGTGTTTCAGTCACTGAGCTTGAGGATTTGTTGAGATCTGCATGAAAACTTTCCTCAAATTCTTTTTCACTGCTGCTTGATCCAGTCGAGAGTTTACGGAGCATGTAAACTGGTAATCCATTGGTTTTATGTTGGTTCCAGTAAAGATAAGGGTATGAATCACTGGTACTGTAAGTGCAGTGAAGTTTAACCATCTCATGTTCAGAAGCTGTTTGAACTCTTGTTGGTTGATTGACAGAATCTTGTGTATTGCACTCTGTCAGGAGATATAAAAATGTAAATAAATCAGTTTTCATGTATATTCTGATGTAAGGAGGAATAATTCAATTTAAAAGCAAAGTTATTTTACTTAGCACTGCAGCCAACAGAAGTAAATTCCTTAGCCAGATAAACATAGTTTACTTAAAGCGTATAAAAATTTCAAAGGCAATATTAGTAAAATATGATTATGATAAACTTGAGGCAGTCTTAGTTTAGATTTCACTGTGTGTGTTTGCACAGGTTAAACACATATAGGAGGAGCTTGCAAATAGGATACAATTCTGCCACAAAGTGGCCAGGATGTGCAATTACATAACTTAAATTAAAAATAAAAGTAACTCTTAAAGCAGAACTGGTTGCAGTTTTTTTGACTTCCAACACAAGACACAGCGCAAACAGTAAAATTATTTTTTTTTAACCATTGTTTTTTTTTTTTTCCGAGGCTCCACTGTTTCATTATTTACTCAATAATTAATGTACCTGTTCCCATAATAACAATGATTAGAAAGCATCTGCCCATGTTGAATAAGATGAGCTCAGTTCTTTCTTGAGCCCTTCAATGTTCTGCAGTGTGTGTGAAACACTGGAGGTCATAAAGACACCCAGGAACTTCCTGCTCACTGTCACATGATGCTGTTTGCTTTGAATACAAACTGCTCAAATGAGCACAAATGGTCTATCTGCCTGTCTGTCTGTCTGTCCGTGAAATGGAAATAAAAATATTTTTGTATGAGCTTTGAGTGTATTATGTCACTGTGGGCCTCAGAGCACAGTAGTACACAGCAGAGTCAGACACACGCACATCCTGGATTGTCAGTGGAAATGATTTTGAAATTGTGTTGAGATCGCCGTTAAATCTTTCCTTGAACTGAATCCTTGAACCAAATTTGCTCAGCATGAATTCTGGGACTCCATTTGCTTTCTGCTCATACCAGAAAAGATTTGGCGATATATCAGTGGTTTCAAATTGACAGCTGATTGTTACAGCTGCTCCTTCAACAGCAGTTTGAACTGTTGTATTTTGTTCAACACTGTCCAGAGAATCACATCCTGTAATTTAATGCAAAACAACCCTGATGAGGATCTCATATTCATATTAGGAGTATGTTACAGAATAATATATTCCTTACAGAATTTACAGACTTACCCCAGAAATAGTATGTGATAAAGAAGACTACAATTCTTTTCCAGTTTGTCATCACTATAATTGTTAAAATAATCCGTTAAAATAATCATTTAGATAAAATGAACTTGTTGAAATCTACAGTAGACTCTTGTTTCAGATAAAGTTGTTGTAACACTGTCACATATGCAAAGACCTGCAGGAGGAGTCTGACTGCAGTGTGTCTATCTCCTCCTCCTGAAGGATTCTGGTTTTATCAGCTGTAACAAAGTTGAGGGAGGAAGGAGTAACCGGCTTACCAAAAAAAGTAAATTTGAAGTAGTATTGTCTTATAAACAAACTACAGTAATCTTTGTTTTATTTACAACTTCAAAGATTTTTTTATTTCAGTGTGAATATATTACTAGAAGAAGCTGTAAAAAAGAGAGACTTGTTAATGTTGATGTTATTCTTGAGTACTATATTGTTTTTTTTTTATTTTACATTATAGTTATGCATTTGTCGTCAATGTCAGAGAAATGTGTTTTTGTGTGAGTGTTGAGTGTGTTTCAGTCACTGTGGGCTTCAGAGCACAGTAGTACACAGCAGAGTCAGACACACGCACATCCTGGATTGTCAGTGGAACTGATTTGGTTTGTGTGTTCAGACTTGCATTAAATCTTTTCTTGAACTCTTCTTCATTATTTCCATAAGTAGCAACTCTGTTCAGCATGTATTTTGGGAATCCATTTACTTGTTTCTGGTACCAGAAGAGAGTTGGGCTTGGATCAGTGGTTGTATATGAACAATTAATTATTACAGCTGCACCTTCATCTGCTGTTTGAACTCTCATATTCTGGTGGACGGCATCCTCAGATTTACACCCTGGAATTTAGAAAAAAAAATGTACCAATTTAATTAATTCAATCATTCTCAAATTAAAATGTAAGAAAAGTGTTTAAAATATACTTACCCAAGAAATATGAAATAAACAACATGAAATATTTTTGCCAGTGTGTCATCATAATACCATAAATATTCTGTGCTAAATTAAACTAAAATGAATGAATGCATCAATAAATGAACAGTAGGACAGCAGTTTTAACCCTCTTGTTGCTTCAGTCTCTCTTTGCTAAAGTTACACTGATCACATTTACAAACACCTGGAGGAGGAGACTGACTATACCACAGTATCTGAATACACATAGCTTGACTGAAAGAGTTTGTGATTCATTCTTTGAGTGAAAGGTGAAAAGGAAGAATATTTTAACAGAACTTTCCAGAACTGTTTTCTTATTACTGTATACAGTTGTCTCTGTTTCTATTTGTAGTTTGAGATTCTTCAAGAGGTTCAGCTTTATATAAGAATTTGAGAAATTATGCCTCCTTGTGGCATGTTTGAATAGATTTTGCTGATCTGAACTATTTTAAATTCAGTCACATTAACATAATTCACAAACAGTGCAACTGATGTCAGACTCAATTAAGAGTTCGACTTTGAGAGGGAAAATTTTCATGCAGATATCATACAAGGATTTTTCAGAGGAGATGATATAGATAATGATAATGTGATGTTTAGTCAAATCTTTCAAAATGTTTGTGATGTACTGTAATTCAAGAAATATTCTACTGTATTGTGTTTCCTGTTCATTACCCTTTCAGTAACCACACACAGGTGTTCCCACAAGTTTAATTATATTGTGTGAATTTTAGATTGTGGGTTAGATGTTGCTTGACATTAAAGGGAAAAATGAATTTGATTGTTGCTTCAGTCTCTCTTTGCTAAAGTTGCACTGATCACATTTACAAACACCTGGAGGAGGAGACTGACTATATACCACAGTATCTGAATACACATAGCTTGACTGAAAGAGTTTGTGATTCATTCTTTGAGTGAAAGGTGAAAAGGAAGAATATTTTAACAGAACTTTCCAGAACTGTTTTCTTATTACTGTATACAGTTGTCTCTGTTTCTATTTGTAGTTTGAGATTCTTCAAGAGGTTCAGCTTTATATAAGAATTTGAGAAATTATGCCTCCTTGTGGCATGTTTGAATAGATTTTGCTGATCTGAACTATTTTAAATTCAGTCACATTAACATAATTCACAAACAGTGCAACTGATGTCAGACTCAATTAAGAGTTCGACTTTGAGAGGGAAAATTTTCATGCAGATATCATACAAGGATTTTTCAGAGGAGATGATATAGATAATGATAATGTGATGTTTAGTCAAATCTTTCAAAATGTTTGTGATGTACTGTAATTCAAGAAATATTCTACTGTATTGTGTTTCCTGTTCATTACCCTTTCAGTAACCACACACAGGTGTTCCCACAAGTTTAATTATATTGTGTGAATTTTAGATTGTGGGTTAGATGTTGCTTGACATTAAAGGGAAAAATGAATTTGAGTTTTTGTACGGCTTCACAAAGACTTTGCATCACTGGGCTGCTACTCTTAGAGCACAATAATAGAGAGCTGAATCTGACAGTGTTACACCAGTAATAGTGAGTTCAGTGGATGATTGTGGTGTAGTCGACTGAAAGCGAGGATCAGAGGGACTCCCACCTCCACCTCCTGAATACTTATATATTAAATAGTGAAGCTCTTTATTAGGATACTGTCTGTACCAGTACAGATAAACATAACTGCTGCTTGTATCATATGTGCAGCTGAGGGCCACAGTCTCATCTTCCTTTATGACAATAGCATCTTTATTTGGCCTAATCTGGTCTGCAGTCATCACACCTAAATCAATCAAACAAAAACAATTTGTCAGTTAAGTTCACACAAAATTATCTCAATCTACCCCATTATCACCACTGTAATAAAAGTAAAAAGAGTCAATATACCTGAAATCATAATTAAAATGAGAAACAGGTGTTTTTCCATGTTGACTAGCTCAGATCAGGTGTGTATTAATGTAGTCTGTGCTCTGAGCTGTAGATCTGTGTTACTGTGAGTCTCTGCAGTTTCACACTCAAACACACTGGAACTTCCTGCTTTCTGTGTGATGATATCATCTACTGCTTCTCATGTTTTTGCTCTGCCGTTGGTTATAGGAAAGCTTTTGCAACTGCATGAAATTACATTTGTACTATTCTGAAGCTGTCTGAAACTTTGCATTACTAGCACTTCTTGGGTTTATTTCCTGCTTAAGATGAATTGCTTTTTGTATTCCTCATTTGTAAATTACTTTGGATAAAAGTGTCTGCTAAATGAATAAATGTAAATGTAAATATATTTATTTAGCAGATGATTTTGTCTACGAAAAATACAAATATGAATGGTTAATGAACCAATAATATTAAGAGTAATACAAATTTTAACATGAGCAAAATAGTATTGATCTAGTTCAGACATATATATATATATATATATATATATATGTACATTTTGAGTGTGGAAGTTGCTGCAAGATGTTGTATTTTTCTGTGATTATACCACTAACTGACTGCAGAGGGAGTCTTGCACAAAAGTTGTTATCTATTTCTATATTTAGTTCTGTTTTTGAATGAGTGTTGAGTGTGTTTCAGTCACTGTGGGCTTCAGAGCACAGTAGTACACAGCAGAGTCAGACACACGCAGATTCTTGATTGTCAGTCGAACTGTGCTTGATTTGGAGTCCAATGTTGCAGAAAATCTCTCTTTAAATTCATCTTCAGTAGTTCCTTTACCAATTGTAAATTCACTCAGAATGAATGTTGGTGATCTGTTTGGTAGCTGTTTGTACCAGAAGAGATAAGCATTTGTAGCACTGGTAGAATAATTGCACTGTAGAGTAACTGGATCTCCTTTAATTGCAGTAATTTCTCCTAAAGGCTGTTCAACTCTGTCTTGCCCCCAGCACACTGGAAAATAGATTATAATTTACATACATTAAGTAACTAAAATAGTATCTGTAAAGTGTGATAAATAGTGATCTTTCTTACCAGAGTCCTGTGCTGAGAAGAAAAGCACAATAATCATCAGTTTTTCCATGGCTGAGATTAATGTTTTGATGTGTTTTCTAATGAATGTGTCTCTTTGTCTTTACTGTAGCTCTCTGTTACCTCTGTGCTGCTCTTCTCTTGATTTTTCAAGTCTTCAGGTCTAAATCCTCACATGTCGATGGCACTGTTGAGGGATGCTGCCCCCCAGTGCTGAATTGAAGCATTTCTAACAGATTAATTTTAAATTTAACACACATAGTCTAACATAACTGCTGATTGTTATTGAGGATCATTTTGGTCTGCACATCAGCTCATCATCTTCTCTGACAATATATTTATTTTGCTGTGCAACATACTGTAATATATGCCAGGAACAGTCTGTAGCAGAGTCGCCTGTTTCTGAGTGAAAGTGAGGCACGTGATCATTAGCTATGTTTCCATCTAAAGCTGTGAATTTAACTTTTACAAAAAAATTAATTTGCGAATAAAGCACCGTGTCCATCCCTTGTGTTCAAGAGAACAAAATAATATTGGAAGTTGAAAAATGTTATCTTACATTGATGTTTGGAAACACATCTTGTGAGACAGTTCTGAGAGGTAGTTTAACCATGATAGACTTCAGCTCAGGAATTTCAGAATGACTCAAACAACATTTGAGATTGTGTGCATTGGGATCAGTCTGCTGGTTAGTCCAGTTGTCTAATCACATGGTCTGTTGAGGCAAAGACACACAAGTTTTTTTGTTGTTGTTGCATGTTGTTCGCGAATTCAGCCATTTTCACATTATGTCTTAGTTTAGAGGCGAAGTTACAGAAATAAATTTGAATGTAATTTAATTTACTTTCTCTTCAATGTCTGTATCCTTCGTTCCATTCTTAAAATTTGCAGCTCTTGTGTATTAAAGCTTCACTATGAATCTAAGGGTTGCTGCTACCTTGAGGTCACATTTACTCATTAAAATTAATTTGTTTCAATAGATTTTGGCAGTGTCTGATTTTTTTTGCATACTGAATACTGATTGTTTCTGTGTATAATAGATTGTTGTTTTGATGAGGTTCAGTTTCAAAGCAAAGAATGAATTTGAGATTTTGTATGGCTTCACATAGACTTTGTATCACTGGGCTGCTACTCTTAGAGCACAATAATAGAGAGCTGAATCTGACAGAGTTACACCAGTAATAGTGAGTTCAGTGGATGTTATGATGTAGTCGAATGAAAGTGAGGTTCAGCTGGGCTCCCAGTACCACTCCATGACCAAGCATCTTTCCACATTAAATGCTGGGGTTCTCTATTAAGATATTATCTGTACCAAGAAAGTTCAACTTTATTGCTTGTATCATATGAGCAGCTCAGTGTTACAGACTCTCTTTCTGTACTGATGACATTGACACTCTTTAATCGCCCAATCTGGTCTGCAGCCATCATACCTACTATAAAAACATAAAATTTGTGTACATTTTAAAACATGTGGGTTACATTCATTCACATTACACTATTTTCATTAGCACATCAAAGAGTATTTTACCTGAAGTCATGATTACAATTAGTACCTAGTGTCTGTCCATGTTTACTAAGTCAGATCAGTTCTGCTGATGCTCTTCTGTTCTGTGGGTTGTGATGATTGTGATGCTCTGAGTTTCTGCAGTTACTCAGGATCTGAGTCATACAGTCACTCAGGGCCTTACTGCTCTCTGTTGAGATGATTCAGTTGAACCCTCACCCAGACATAAATATGCATTTAGTTTATTTTCTGTTGTACAGAGAGTAGATTAATGAAAGAGGTAGAGAAACACATATGTGAATCAGAGAACTGTTATTTGAAGCAAGGAGGAGCTAGTGATCCTGAAATGAGATAATATGAATATATGGTACATATTGCCATCATGTGGTTTCTTTTATTTTTTTCTTTTATTTTCTTTTCTTTCTAAATGTACTCTTTTTAAACAGGTATTTTAATGCATTTTATCAGATTTTGTTCTCAGTGTCTGAGTTGATATTTTGGGAATGTGATTCTCTTGATTGTGATGTGCTCCAATCTAATTTGTAGAAGGTAGAGTTATAGTTATGTCGGGTTTTTGTACAGTGTTCTTGTGTTTCCTGTCACTGTGGGCCTCAGAGCGCAGTCGTACAGAGCAGAGTCTGATATAGATGCAGAGGAGATCTTCAGATCCACAAGGTATTCATTGTTGTCTTTAGTGATTTTAGCCGTGAATCTGGAATCTACATTAGACTTCTGATCTTCTTTTGCACTGTCTGAGATGAGCACAATGAACTCAGGAGCTGATCCGGGATACTGACGGTACCAGTGAAGATAGTATGCAGATGAATAACTGCAGGATAATTTAACACTTGAACCCTCGTCAGCAAACTCCTCTGTTTTGGTAGGTTTAATTTCATTCCCATACGTTGCATCTGCAAATGTAGATCAAATCTTTTATGAACTGTGTATTGCAATATACAATATAAAGGAATACACTTTGTACATAATTTAGATGCAAATCACTAAACACTTCAGTACTTACATGCAAAGACAGAAAGCAGAATGACAGAATGGAGATTCATTGTGTGTGTTTCTTATGCTCTCTCTAACAGAAGTTTAACAAGATCGCATCAGGTATCAGTGCTTTAAACCCCACTTCTTCCAGAGAGCTCTTTGAGAGAGATAACATCAGATCTGTTTCAAACACCACTGAGACATTCGATTACTATTCATGTCCTATTGTACCCTCTTGTGGTTCCTTACTAACTCTGTCGTGTGATAGAAATCATCAGATCTCAATATACAGAATATGATCTGGAATAGTTCCTCATACTTGTTAAAGTTCTCTGTTTATATTCTCTGTTTAGATGTGCATATTATAAACACATAATGACAGGTGATGTGAATTCTGGTCATTCCAATTCGGTGGAAACACGGAAGCTTTGTGCAGATCTGTGCACAGAAGTGTGTTTGGTTATTTTATCCTCTGTAATGTGTCTCCCTGAGCTTTTGTTTCTTTTGTTATCTATTTCTATATTTAGTTCTGTTTTTGTATGAGTGTTGAGTGTGCTTCAGTCACTGTGGGCTGCAGAGCACAGTAGTACACAGCAGAGTCAGACACATGTACATCCTCGATCATCAGAGGAACTGTTCTTGTAGTTCCTCATACTTGTTAAAGTTCTCTGTTTATATTCTCTGTTTAGATGTGCATATTATAAACACATAATGACAGGTGATGTGAATTCTGGTCATTCCAATTCGGTGGAAACACGGAAGCTTTGTGCAGATCTGTGCACAGAAGTGTGTTTGGTTATTTTATCCTCTGTAATGTGTCTCCCTGAGCTTTTGTTTCTTTTGTTATCTATTTCTATATTTAGTTCTGTTTTTGTATGAGTGTTGAGTGTGCTTCAGTCACTGTGGGCTGCAGAGCACAGTAGTACACAGCAGAGTCAGACACATGTAGATTCTTGATCATCAGTGGAACTGTTCTTGATGTGGAGTCCAGTGTTGCAGAAAATCTCTCTTTAAATGCATTCTCAATAGTTCCTTTACCAATTGTAAATTCACTCAGAATGAATGTTGGTGATCTGTTTGGTAGTTGTTTGTACCAGAAGAGATAAGCATTAGAAAAACTGGTAGAGTAATTGCACAGCAGAGTAACTTGAGCTGCTTCATTTGCAGTCATTTGTCTTGAAGCTTGTTCAACTTTGTCTTGTCCCCAGCACACTGGAAAATAGATTTACCCATTATTCATGTACTGACACTGAGTATCTCACAAAAAGATAAAGTGTAAATAATGAAATAATGTTCTTACCAAACTCATGAGCAGTGAAGAAAAAAGTAATAATCACCCACTTTGCCATTGTTGCTCTAAGTTAAAAAAGGAGAATATTTTAACAGAAATTTCCAGAAGTGTTTTCCTCTTACTGTATAGTCTGTGTTTCTCTTTGTAGTTTCATATTCTTCATAAGGTTCAGCCTTATACAGGTGCATCTCAATAAATTAGAATGTCGTGGAAAAGTTCATTTATTGAATTATGCCTCCTTGTGGTGAGTTAGAATATTTTGCTGAGCTGAATAAATAAGTGATAATGTACATCCAGATGGTTGTTTTCACTGAATAAACCCCAACAGGGTGATCAGAACCCCAGTGCGAAGTGGGGGTTATTACACAGCTACTTGCCAAATAAGTACATGACATATTAATTAGTTGAAATATTTAATTAGTTCTTTAAAAGCAAAGCTTCTGCAAAGAAAAACAGTTTTTAACAAACAGCTTTGAGCCTAGACAACGTTCAGATAAGACGGACATTTAAGGCATAATGTACAGTTATACTAATTACACAGCTTTCAATCATACAAATAAAGACAAGTACATAAAATGTTATATGAGAAGAAAGCATTTTAAAATCTTACCTGGTTATAATTACAAAAATCCATCACAGTGTAACATTTGTTCTGGCAACCAGAGGCAGACAAAGTACACAACTCCATTACTTAAGTGAAAGTACAGATACTGCTGGTCAAATATTACTCCATTACAAGTAAAAGTTGTAAAGACAGATTTTGACTTAAGTAAAAGTACAGAAGTACTTGCTTTTAAAAGTACTTAAGTAGCAAAAGTAAATTTCCTTATTTATGTTTTATTATTGTTGTATGTAATACTTGCAATACCTCTGAAGCAACTTACAATACATTACACCTACTGAATAGACTGACTAGCTTGTAGTATCTTTGGAATAAAGAGCTTTTAGAAAGTTAAAAAAATAATAATTATAATTATTTAACACCCCTACCCACCCCCACAAAAGCAGGATGGTAGTGATCTCACACAGCTCTGGATTCAGAGTGATTCATCCACATTTGAACAGAGTGGACAGTGAAATTGCTGTAAATACAGACTGATAAGGAAGAAAATAACTAGGCTTATTTGACATCAAAACAAAAAAAAAAAAAAAAATGCTGTCTAATCGCTCTCGCTGTACTTTGATGTCATACACAGAATGGTCTGTGCAGTGCTGCTTCGGTCAAACACATTTTGTGTTTTATTAGGAGACGCACAACAGTTCTTCTGTGGCTTTA